GAATCTACCATAGCATCCAGCTCTTGATCAGTCATATCACTGAATGCAGGGGTTTCATCCAACCCAAACTCCCTCCTCCGTCTAATGATAGTACTCCTCGATACTCCTAATAAAGAACTAATTTTTGTCCATGAAAATCCCATTTCTCTCTATATCCACAATAAATCTTGGCCTTCCACTAGTAGCTTTCTCACTAGAGGCAACTGCAGACATCGACACTGTTGTACTCTCACATTTTAAAAGGTCAAAGTACTTGTCGGAGAAACACTGATATATTTCCATCAATTGTGAAAGGGCATTTCCAATTTCACATGCTTGTGAGGTCGGTTCTTGGTTAATTTCGATAAGCGATAAATACCAAAAAAGAATAACAACCTGTTCTTCTGCGAGTCTCAACATCGTTTGAAATTTGCCCTTCTCGTTACAATCTAAGTTTCCTTGAAGTTCACAGYATATAGCAGGCAGGCCATTCAAAAAAATCTGGAGATCGGTCAAAACGTCCACAAGAGCAGCCGCCATTTTATCGTGTTTGAAAGAGCATAACCTGGGAACGAAATAAGGAAACCGCTGGCCAATAGAGTTGTCGTCAACAAGAAGTTTTATAAAAAACGTGAAGTTTTATATTTTCCTTTGGAAGTTTTACATGAGTAGCGAAGTTTTATAAAGGATAGGAAGTTATATATTTTGCTGAAGAAGTTATATGTTTCACTTCGGAAGTTTTATAAAACACATGATATATTATATTTGGTGTTGAAAGTTTAATATAATACGACATTAAGTATATATAAAACACGTAAGTATTATTGACACAAACGGCGCCCCATACAACAAAGGCGCTTCCGCTCAGTCAGAAACATTTTTGCGCTTTTCTTGGAAGTGATTATGCGTTCAGTTACCCGTACATTTTGAGACCGATGTCAAAGGGAATTTGACCAATTTAACTGAAATTCAAAAGTGTGTCTCCGATTTTTGAATTTTTGCTTATTTCCAAATTATCGTGGATTTTGACTCGGATACAGCTGATATAGCGGCGTCATAACTTTAAGAGCGTATAAAAAAGCAACGGGGCAACTAATCAAAAATCGGAGACACAGTTTTGACAAGTGATGTCTTGTTATCTCGTAAAGGTAATAAGCATTGGTTTTCGATCATTACCGGCTGTCATCGAACTCCGCGAAGATGCCACGGTGAAAATTTGAATAATTCGCTCTAACTTAAAAGGATAAATATATTTTACAAAAAGGAAATAAGGAATAGTTTCTACATTTATTCAGCTTTCAGAAAATGAATACTTTGTTGAGGTTTCCATTAAAAGGTTTTGTACTATTAGTATAGGAAATCGCACGATCTCGAGTGCAATTTTAAAATTAATAGACACGAGTAATGTTTTGAAAGTTCTTTAATTGTACTCCTCTCGACCAATCAGAGTCGAGTAATTTTGTTGAGTGTACTATAAAGAGTTGAATGCACAATGGTCGCTAGGGGTACCCTGACACCTTAAGCGACCAAGCTCTATGAAGCGACCAACCTCTATTAAGCGACCAACCTCTATTAGGCGACCAACCTCTATTAAGAGACCAACCTCTATTAGACGACCAACCTCTATTAAGCGACC